ATGCTTTTTGAGCTTAATGTTTCAACAACAACAACAACAATCAATGTTGCCAACGATATTACAACAATACCAACAACAACAACAACAATGTCTTCGACAATACCGATAACGATATCATCGACGACGACGACGGTGGATGATGCTTCGACGACGACGATACCAACAACAACATCGATTTCAAATGTTGATTATTGTCATCATCCTCGAGATGATGATCAACAACCAATGATAAATGGATCGATAAAACGTAAATTTAATGATGATAATGATAATGATCAAATTGTGAATGAAAAAGATTTAGAATTAATATTACCATCGAAAAGATTATCAATTGAATCTTGTTTATCGAATGATGATAATCGAATGTTGACAACAATAACAACGACGATTCCTATTTCAACAATATCGACCGAATCGGTTATAATAGCCAATAATAATTCGAATGTTTCGAATGATTCGAATTCGAATTCGAATGAAGATTCCGATGATGATGATGACGACGATGATGAAGAATCTGAAGATTCTGATGATTCCGATGATTATGAAGATGAAGATGAATTAGATGATGAAGAAGATGAAGATAATATTGATAAAGTTGATCTCGTTTATCAGAAAAATCCACATCATCAACAACATCCAGATCTTATCTATTCATCATCATTGAATAATGAATTTATTGAAAATGATTCTCAACGAGCTTCCTCACCATTATCATTACCAAATATTCATCATCATCATCATCCTGGACATTCGCCCACAACATTATCATCATCATCATCAATCATTGATCAACAACCGAATTATTCGGAAAATCAATCATCGATATTATCTTCATTAACAGCAACACCTCATCCTTCTCCAATAACAACAACAACAACAATGCCTTTAAATATTGAAACAACAAATTCTGATTCAATTCCAATGGATATTATTATTGATCCAATGATATCATCATCAACAACAACAACAATTCCAACAACAACAACAGCAACAAATAATAATGATCATCAAGAATATTATTGTTCATATAGTATGATATCATCACAACAACCACAAATTAGTCAAACAACATTACAACAACAACAATATCATACAACAAAAAGTAGTAACAGCAATAATAATAATCAACAACAACAACAACAACAACAACAATTAAGACAACGGCAACAAATATTTAATTTATCAATGTTAAAATTGAATCGTTTTCGTCAATCAACTGATCTATCATTACATCGTTCAGTAATGATTTGTAATACATTACGTATGTTAGAAAAAGAATTAGAACGTGATGGCCTTAAAGTTAATGTTAGTCCAAATGGTATACCATTTTTATCACCAGTATCATCGGTACCTGTTGATATATTGCCTTCATTACAACAACAACAACAACAATCGCAATCTCAATCTCAATCGCAACAACCAAATCAGCCTTTATTATTAGATAATAATGATGATACCGAAGATTTTGATTCAACATCATCATCATCATTAACGCCTACTACTACTACAAACGATATTCAATCATCATCATCAACAATTTATCAATCAACTTATGCCTCTTCACCTTTATTATCATCATCATCATCAACTTCATCATCAACATTAGATCCATTAATCAATAATGTTGGTATTAGTAATGGTGGTGGTGGTGATTATGATAAATATTTTACTATTGAATGTCCATCATCATCGGGTCGTGCAACACCATTTATTAGATGTCAATCATCAAATGATGATAATTTAGAAGATAGCGGTCCAAATACTTTTTGGTCAACAGTCAATAACAATAATAACGGTGATAATAATCATAATGATATACAAATGACCAATTTGGATACGGTTGATAATAATGTTGGATGGAATCAAACCATTCCATTTGATGATTCATTATCATCATCTGTATCATCATTGCCGATAACAACATCGACGTCTACATCAATAACAAATACAACAACAAAAACGGAGCTTATATCAACAACGACAGCAGCAGCACCAACAGCAGCATTATCATCAACGATATCCGATGATATTTCCGATCCAATTTTAACATCATGTAGTACAATAACCACCACTACTACTACAACTCGTTCTTCTACTCTAACACCATTATCATCATTTGAAACATTATTATTACCACCAGCATCAACATTAACTGAAAATAATTCATTATCAACAACGACATCATCATCATCGTTATCAAGATCAACATTGTCGACGACAATATCGACGCAGCTATCACCATCAATAACAGCAACAACAGCAGCAACAACCATGGCCAATCTAATCACTTCATATTCGATTAATTCTTATCATCTTGCTTACGCAACAACAACAACAACAACACCAGCAGCAACAAATATAATGACATCGTCAACATCGACAACACCGACAACAACAACAACATCGAATGATGATACAGAAATATTTGATGATATTGATTTATCATTATATGATTTTGATCTAATATCACCATTATCACCACCATCTAATCTTGTTAATAAACAGCAGATAATATCTGCAGAAGATTTAATACGTAATATTAATAATAATAGTACCACTAATCTACAATCAACTTTAAATTATAATCATCATAATCATCCATTATTGAATGGTTTTCAAACAAATATGAATTTTTCATCATATTCATCATCATCATCAACATCATCATTACCATTATCATCTGGTCAATCATTTACCTCATCAACATTACCATTATCATCATCGAATAATATCCTATTGAATACAATGATGATGATGCCAACAGCAACAGCAACATCAACATCGACGACAACAACAACAATGACGACGTTTAATAATAATAATAATTATCTAATGAATTGTACATTGATTAATGGTGGTGGTGGTGGTAGTAGTTCATTATCAACAATGGCTATTTCAACGTCACCAGCATCATCATCATCATCATCAAATAATTGTGGTAATCAAAATTTATTACCGAATACAACATTGGTTACAACGAATAATGGTGGTAATAATAGTAATAATAATAATAGTTTACATTTTAATGGTACAACAGCAGCATCGATACGTTTATATAAAACATCGGATGAAAGAGATCAACAAACAATTAATGCAACAACAATTAAATGCCATAATTAATCAACTGAATATGCCTTTACAATTTCTATTTTCCAATTATCTTCAAACGAAATGAATCCAATGAATGTTCCAAAAAAAAGCAAAATTGTGTTCCAAAGTCTTGCTCTCACTTTCAGGCTTGCAACCACATTCAAATTTCTCAAATTAATACAGCTTCACTTTTATGAACTTATTATTATTATTTGAAATTCTCGAAATTTTCACATAAGAATTGATAACTTGTTGATTTGAATGATTCTTTTTTTTCTTATTTTATTGATTTTTTTCCTGCATACCAACAACAACACACACACTACAGACATTCTTTCGCCATCATAAAATGATATTTTAAACTTTATATTTATAATTTTAAAAAAATATATAATATATTTGTTGTTTATATAATTTTATTTGAAGAAGAAGAAGAAAAAGAAAAACATATTCTATATTAATATATTTTACAAATTTTTGTTTGTTTTGTTTCTTCACCCATCAACATTATTATTATTATTATTTTTTGTTTTTCTTATTTGTTATCCATTTTTTTTGACAATTTCTAAAAATTATTCATCCATTCATTCATTGATTCTGTCAATCATCATCATCATCATTCGATTGATCAAATAACAACAACAACAACAACAACCGAGAAAAAAACCCGCAAAACTGTTGTTGTTGTTTATGTTTTTCCTAACACTTTTTGTGATTGTTTCCTTCAACAACAACAACAACAAGAAAATTTGCAAAAGATGCGCACATTTATAAGGATTTTTTTTTCAAAAAAATGCCATTTTTCTTTCTCTCATCATCATCATCATTTCATAAAGAATTTTAACAAGATTTATCCATTGAAAATTCTGATAACAATTCTGATTCTGATTCTGATTCTGATGATGATGTTTATTTTTTCGCCTAATTTCCTATTATAAAAAATGATTTATATTTTTTTTCTTTTTGTTTTTTTTTTTGCTCTTTACAAATACAATTCTTTTACCCTTTTTTTTCTCTTTCATTCTTGTTGTTAATTTTATGAATTCATATTCTCTTCATTCATTGATTTATTTATGAAAAAAACATACATTGTAAAATTTTTATGTTTATAACATCAACTATGTAAAACGAAAACTACAAAAAAAAATAATAACTACAAAACCGGTGTCGTTTGTAAATTATTCGTTTTTCTTTGACACAAAACACTCAGAAAGAAATATTGTTATATTCGATTTAAAACGACGACGAACGAGATGATTTTGTTTATTTATTTATTTAATTTTTTTTTTGAAAGAATTTTTAAAATTCAAATTTTTGAAAAACAAAAAATAATAATAAAAAAAAAACATTTTAAAAATTTGAAACAAAAAAATTGTTGTTACGCATATGACAACGCGCATGCGCCTTGTTCAGACAAAAAAAAATTTTCATTAATCATTCATTTCAATTATCATTTGTAATATTTTTTTTGTTGTTATGATTAATTCGATAAAATAAAATAATTTTATTTCTCATTGATTTCGTTGTTGTTTCGATTCTTTATGCTCAGTCATCATCAATGGAATATTCAATTTGAATGAATATTCAAAAAAAAATATTCAGGTTATTACCGTAGAATTTGATCTAATTTTACATTGATTCGATGAAAATCCTGTTGAATCATTCATCATTTCACCAAAATGAAATCAAGGTAAATTTTTTAAAATTTGAATTTTCCAATGGAGAAAAAAATTGATTATCAGTTGCTGCTGGTTATGATGAAGTTATAACCGAACCCGTTTCATAAATCCGAATACCGATTGTCGTTGTTCATCATTCATTCATTGAGAGTGGCATCCATATTTTCTTTTCCTCCAATTGTCGTCATCATTCTAGGCAACCAATAATTTCAAATTTGTTTTGCTGGATTTTGTTTTTAGATCTATTTTTAGTTTGTTTTTTTTGACAATTTTTTTTCTGGTTGTTCAAGTTGGTTCATTATATATTTTTACTTCTTCGTTTTTTTTGCCATCATCATCAGTTTGTATGTTTGTTTGGTTACAATTGTTGAATTCATCATTATCATTATCATCCAAAATCGAAGATTATTGTTGTCAAGCATTGCTTTTAATCATTCTTCTTCTTCATCATCATCGTTTCGCCAAAATGGCCTTATTATCATTATTTGGACAAGATATTTTGCGATCATCATTCGATTGAAGAAAAACAACAACAAAAATGTTTGTTTTGTTCTAAATTTTCAGAATAATAATAATAATAATTATCAAAAACATATGAAAATAAATCAAAAGATTTGATTAATTAATTGGTTAATTAATGAAGTCTATAGTAATAAAAAAAAATCATCAATCACCTTCATTTCTACTTACCATTCATCATTTTTTTCTCGTTGTAAATTAATATGGAAATCTATTTCATTATATTCATATTGATATTAATAACCATTGGTCTTGTATCGATGATCATGGCCATTATTTTTATTCAATCAACATTATTATCATTCAATGATTATGATGATGGCCAATATAAAATGACCATGGATACCGATAACATTATAAAAACATCATTAATGAATGATACAACGACGACGACGACGACGACCACATATACATGGCCAATAATCAGTACGTTTGATGATGATGAAGAACAACCGGAAAATGTTTGGTTTTTTCGTCATTGATAATTAAAATGGCGAGTACATTGTTAATTAATCGATAATCTTTACAATCTACTGATCTACTTATCATCATCATCATTGAAATGGAATTTTATCGGATGAAGTCCTTTACCGTAACCATCATCATCATCATTTTGTTTTTTTTTTCGGCGATAAACAATTCGAATTCGAATGAATTTTTTTTCAATCACCACTTGATTTCTAACGCCATCTATCGGCCGTAATTGTGATAATTCTTATTTTGTAAAAAATAAATTTATTTTCTCAAAAAAATTAAAAATCAAATCGAAAAAAAAATTTTAAAAATAAATTTGATTATGTAATGAAGACTAGTGTGTGTGTGTCTGTGTATTGGATAGATAAAAATGTATGATGTTTGGTCCAATTATTTCATTTGTTGATTATATGTTTTTTGGATGGAATAAAAAAAAACAAAACAAAACAAACAATTTTGAAAAGATTTGATTCAAGAAGAAAGTTATTATTCTGTATACATATAATATAATTCTTTAGCTAAACGATGTAATGGTAAACCGACAACATTAAAATAATCACCACGTATTGATTCGATTAATGTTGCACCAATACCTTGTATACCATAACTACCAGCTTTATCTAATGGTTCACCCGTTTTAACATATGATTCAATAATTGTTTTATCCATTTCTGAAATGGTAACATCAGTTGCTTCATGAAATGTTGTTACTAAATAATCATCACCATCTATACATAATAATGATGATGATTTTTTCATCTGTTGCGGTTGTATTGCCATCGTTGTTGATAATGTTTGTTGCTGTTGTTGTTGGTCAGCAATATTGGTGGTCAACGTTGATGATGATATTGATTTAGATCTAGTTATCAAAGCAACACCGGTAAATACCGTATGCGTACGACCACTTAATTTCATTAACATACGTATTGCATCCGAATCATCTTTTGGTTTTTCATAAATTTTTTCATCCAATGTTACAACCGTATCACAACCAATAACTAAATCGGCAACATTATTATTATCATTATTTCGGGCTAATTGACGCCAAACTGATAATGCTTTTTGTTTAGCATTTTCTTTAACATATTCACATGGATGTGTAAATGAATTTTTATCCAAATTTTCTTCAAATTCTGGTCGTATAATTTCAAAATTAAATTGTACACTTTGTAGTATTTCTTTTCGTCTTATACTTGATGATGCAAGTATATTACGTTGACGGCTTATTATATGACGAATTGGTTCCAACATTATTCTGTTTTTCGAGCCAAAAAAAAGAATTTAAAATTTTTAAAAATCAATAAAAAAAACAGCAAACATACCCCCTTCGAAAAAAAGCAAAAATATAGAGCAACCTGTAGACGAAATGAGTGATTGAAGTAAAAAAAATTCGTCAACCAAAACAAGAAAAAGATCCAAACAAACAAAAAAAACCTTCAAAGTAGATCAACACCAATATATTACGTCACTTTTTTTTTGTTGTTATTGCTGCCTATTGTTATTGTTGATAAATGATTCTCTCTTTCTTTCGTTCTCTCTTTTTCAAATTTATGTCACAATGATTTTTGACGACATGGATTAATATATGACATGAATTTAAATTGTTTTTCGGTTGAAGCAACCAAATTGATAATGGTGAGAAGATTGAGTTTTTTTGTTTTTTGGTGTTCAGGTTGATTAAAAGAAGTTTCTTCTGTAAGAAGAGAGAAAAAAAATTCAATGGATTTCTTCGAGTTTTGTTGTTGTTGTTGTTGTTGTTTGCATGAATGAGTGCGGACACTAACAAATTACAGCCGTTGTATGGCGCCACATATCATTTTTAAATTCCCAAACATATTCGAATCAATCAAAATAAAAAAGGAATGCAACAAGTGGATTTTATCTTTGAAAATGATAACAAAATACATTTATTTAATTTTAATTGAATTCAAAATATTTTGTTTTGTTTTGGCAGTGTTGATTATATTAGAATATTATTGTTGTTTGTTTGTTTGTTTGTTGTTCATTTTTTTTTTTTTNCCCCCCAAAAAAATGCAGCGAAAAAAAGGAAAAATAGAGCAACCTGTAGAAGTGAATGTAAATTTGTCAACCAAAAAAAAAAAAAAGATCCAAAAACAAAACAATCAAAAAAAAAATCTTTCAAAGTAGATCACACCAATATATTACGTCACTTTTTTATTATTATTGCTGCCTATTGTTATTGTTGATGATTCTCTCTCTCTCCAGGTTTTCTGTCTCTTTCTCTCTCACTTTTTCAAATTGAAATGTCACAATTTTGACGAAATGGATATGACATGAATTTAAATGTTTGTATTTTCGGGTGAAACAACAACAACAAACAGATAATGGTGAGAGAGGATAAATAAAACAAGTGGATATAGGATTGAGTTCGTTGTTTGGTTCAGGTTGATTAAGAGTTTTTTCGTTTGGTCGAAAAAGTTTCTCTGTAAGAAGAGAGAGAGAAAAATCACTGGATAATATTTTTTTCCATTCAATGGATTTCTTCAAGTTATGTTTGTGTTGTTGTTTGTTTGCATGAATGAGTGCGGACACAGATACCGTCGCCATAGCATGGCGCCACATATCATTTTAATTTACAAAATATATCATTCGAATGGATTAAAATATATCAACAAAACAAAAAAAAACAAAACAAAATTCAACAAATTTAGTTTTTTTTCAAAATTTCATTGGAAATTCAAGAAAATTGAAAATTTTCAAAAATTTTGAAACAAAAAAAAAATATTCGAATTCGAATTTCGAATGTTTCAGCAGCAGGGGGAAAATGAACGCCATCTTTCGAATCAAATTCGAATCAAATTTGGATAATGTTATTTTGTGCTCAGATCAACCAAACAGCAAAGAAAAAAATGCTGGTTTTTTTTTCTTCTTCCATTCTTTCTCGGTTTGGCTCGTGTTGTTTACATATATCCATCCTTATAAAGGATACGGCCATCATTTTGTTTTCGAATTTTTTTTTTTTCGTTATCCAAATTTTCAATTTGGAAATTCATCAAACTAGTTTATCGTAAATTCACCCTTTTATTTTTCTTTTGAAAAAATAAAAGGGTGAGAATTTTTGTTTATTGTGAATTGTCATTTTCGTTGTTCTCGGTCCAACAACCAACCAACAAAAAAATGGCCGATTTTTTTGATCGTGAAGCCGTATCATCCGAAGGTAGTGAAGATGATGAAGTACGTGAAGAAATTCGTCGTCATAAAAAATTAAAAAAAGTTCATGCTGGTGGTGGTTCGGATGAAGATTCCGAAGAAGAAGAAGAAGATGATGGTTAGTTTTTTGGTTTAGTTTTTTGTTTTTTGCGTTTGAAATTGATTTTTTTTTTTGATTTTTAGATGAAAAAATTGCTCAAGAAATGAAAGATCTAATCAATGATGATGTTGAAGAAGAAGAAGAAGAAGATGATGATGGTGATTCTGAAGATGGTATTGGTCGTGGTCATAAACGATCACATGATGATGATGATTTGGAAGAAGATTTAGAAGATGATGATTATGATCTGTTGGAAGAAAATCTTGGTCGTCGTATTGAACGTAAGAAAAAATTTCGTCGCGTTCGACAACTTGAAGATGATGATGATGATGAAGATGATGAAAATCCTGCAAATACATTAAATGAACGTGATGCTATTGCAAATGAATTATTCGATGATGATGATGGTTTTGGTTCAAATAATAATAATAATTTGAATAATGATCAACAACAACAACAACAATTAAATCGACAACAAAATCGTATTCGTGAACAAATTGATGATCAATATGGTCAAATTGATTCGGAACATTCGGATGAATCAGATGATGAAGATAATTTTATTGTTGATGATAATGATCAACCAATTATAACACAAAAACGTTCAAAACGTCATGATGGTTTTAATAATCAAGCGCTGCAACAAGCACAGGATATTTTTGGTGTTGATTTTGATTTTGATGTTTTTGATGATAATGTTGAATTTGATGAAGAAGAAATGGAAGAAGATTATGATGAAGAAGGTATTGATCGACAACGTCAAACAAGTAAAAAGAAAAGACAACGACAACCGAAAAAAAGTATTTATGAATTATATGAACCAGCTGAATTGGAACGTAGCCATCTGACTGAAGCTGATAATGAAATACGTAATACTGATGCACCGGAACGTTTTCTTACACGTTCGATTCCAGTAACCTCGGCTGAACCGAATGAAATTCGTGAAGAATCTGAATGGATTTATAGAAATCTATATGAATTACCAACAATAACTAGGCAAGATAATCATAGTGGTAGTGGTGGTATACGACAACCATTAGCCGGATCAAAACCAAGATCAACAATCAATATTATATCAAATATATTGAAATATATACGAAATGAACAATTAAGTATACCATTTTTATCATATTATCGTAAAGAATATTATGCACCAGATCTATCGATCAATGATCTATGGTTAATATTTAATTGGGATGAAAAATGGTGTCGGTTGAATGAAAGGAAAAAAAATCTGCTGAAATTGATGGAAAATATGAAAGAATATCAATTATCATTGATGATAAAAAATTCTACCACCGAAGATGGTGACAATATTGATGATGATCAACCATTACCGGATGATTTTCGTCGTATAACCGATAAAGATTTACAACGTATACAAACAATACAATCATTTGAAGAATTTAATGATTATTATTTACAATTTCAATTATATTATAGTCATCAATTAACTGAAATGAAAAAATATTTATTAAAACAAAAAAGACAACAACGTGAACGTAAAAGACAGCAACGTTTACAAGAACGACAACAGCAACGTGTTAATGAAAATGGTGAAAATGATGATCCAAATGATGAAATAATCAATGAAGAATTGAATGAAGATAATGATAATGATGATGATGATGAAAAAGAAGAATTAATGTTAACCGAACGTATGAATTTTATGCGTTTATCAATGAAAAAAGATACATATTCATTTTGTCGTGATTCGGGTATTGGACGTTTAGCATCAAAATTTGGTCTAACACCGGAACAATTTGGTGAACATATAACCGAAAGTTATCATAAACATGAAATTGAACAACATCCAATAAATCCGTTGGAAGCAGCACAAGAATATTTAAATAAATGTTTCGATACACCGGATAAAGTTTTACAAGCAGCAACATTTATGGTTGGTAAACAATTATCATGTGATCCATTAGTACGGAAAACTGTACGACAAATGTTTTATGAACGTGCAACAGTTACCGTACGGCCAACAAAAAAAGGAAAAAAAGAAATTGATGAATCACATCAATGTTATTCAATGAAATATTTAAAACAAAAACCAATATCATCATTTTCAAATGAACAATTTTTACAATTAAATATGGGTAAAAATGATGGTTTAGTTGATATAATAATCGAATTGGATGATAATTCAACAACATCATCATCAATGCAAAAACATCATTCATCAACAACAATGTCCAGTTCATCATCATCAATGTTGAATAATAATAATAATGATTCAAAAGCATTTAAACAGTATTTAGAAGAGATAAAATATCTTTATCAAAGGGTATGTTTGTTTTTTTTTATCTAGATGATGATAATTATTGAAAGATTTTGATTGATTTTCGTAGGATGAATTTAGTAAAAATGTACAAGATTGGAATGATCAACGTACAAAAGCATTGGATATTGCATTGAATCGTTTTTTATATCCATTTTTATTAAAAGAATTAACAACAAAAATTCTAACCGAATCACAACATACAATTATACAGGTTTGTTTTGATTTGAACTCATTTGAATACATAGAGATTATATTGATGATCATTTTTTCTTTTCCCCAATAGAATTGTGCCGATAAATTAGCATCATATTTATCGATTGGACCATATATACCGGCTTTTATACAGGATAAAAAAAATCGTAATCATAATCATAGTGGTGATGACGATGATGATGATGATGATAATGATGATGATTTTGATACACGTAATGGTATTCGTATAATGGGTTTTGCATTTGTACCAAATAATGAAGAAGCAAGTTTTTGTGCATTAATCGATGGTGATGGTGAAGTAACTGATTATATAAAACTTGAACATTTTATGTTAAAACGTTCGGAAGGTGGTTTTCTAAGTGATATTGAACGAAATTTACGTGAAAAAGATCGTCAAAAATTACAGAATTTTATTTTAACAAAAAAACCACATGTAATTGCATTAGGTGCCGATACATTAGTTACTAAAGATGTTATGGATGATTTAACACAAATGATACGTAATCTACATGAAATTCAACGTTTACCATTAATACCTATTGAATATATTGATTCAGAATTATCAATTGTTTATATGAATTCAAAAAGAGCCATTACTGATTTTCATAATTATCCACCAAAATTACGTCAAGCAATTTCATTAGCACGACGACTACAAGATCCATTATTAGAATTTGCACAATTATGTTCAGCTGATGAAGAAATCCTGTGTTTAAAATTACATCCATTACAGGATAATGTACCACGTGAAACATTATTGAATGCAATTTATTCGGAATTTGTTAATCGTGTTAATGAAGTTGGTGTTGATATAAATAAATGTCTGGTACATCCTTATACATCATCATTAGTACAATTTATTGGTGGTCTTGGTCCACGTAAAGGTGCATATTTATTACGAACATTAAAAAAACAACAAACACCATTATTGGAAAGTAGATCTCAACTGATACAAAATTGTTCGATTGGTAAAAATGTTTTTATAAATTGTGCTGGTTTTATAAAAATCGATACAAATTCATTTGCTGATTCGGGTACGGAAACTTATATTGAAGTATTGGATAGTACACGTGTTCATCCGGAAACATATGAATGGGCTAGAAAAATGGCTGTCGATGCATTAGATTATGATGAAGATAATGATCATAATCCAGCACAAGCATTGGAAGAAATTATTGAAAATCCAGAAAAATTACGTGATTTAGATTTGGATGAATTTGCAAAAGAATTACATAGACAAGGTTTAGGATTGAAAAAACAAACATTATATGATATTCGTACAGAATTAACTGATCGTTATCAAGATAAACGAAAATCATATCGTTCACCAAATGATGAAGAAATATTTGAATTATTAACTGGTGAAAATTTACAAACATTTTGTATTGGAAAATATGTACAGGTACGTGTAACAGGTATTGCAAGAAGAAAACCTAAAACCGAACAAGTGGATCAAGCACAACCAATTCGTATGGAAACTGGTCTATGGAAATGTCCATTTTGTTTAAAAGATGATTTTAATGAATTAGGTGAAGTATGGAATCATTTTGATACAAATCAATGTCCTGGACAATCATTTGGTGTTCGGGTACGATTAGATAATGGTCTTACAGGTATTATACCATTAAAATATCTTTCAGATAAAGATGTAACCGATCCACTTACACGTGTAAAAGTTGGTATGACAATTAATTGTCGAATATTGAAAATTATTATTGAAAGATTTTCATTGGAATTAACATGTCGTACATCCGATTTGATTGATTCGAATAATCGTTTTAAACCAAATAAAGATAATTATTATGATTTTGATTCGGAAGAATATGATATACGTTTAGAAGAAGATGGTAAAAAACGTAAAAATCATCAACGTACATATATGAAAAGAATTATTGTACATCCATCATTTCATAATATTGATTTAAAAAAATCTGAACAAATATTAAGTGCATCACCACAAGGTGAAGCTGTTATACGGCCATCATCAAAAGGTAATGATCATTTAACATTATCATGGAAAGTACATGATGGTATTTATCAAAATGTATTGATACGTGAAGAAGGAAAAACAAATCCATTTTCATTAGGACAACAATTATTTATTGATCAAGAATCATTTGAAGATTTGGATGAAATTATTGCCCGTTATGTACAACCGATGGCAAGTTTTGCACGTGATTTAATAAATTTTAAATATTTTCGTGATCTAAATGGTGATAGACAAGCAGCTGAAAAAGTATTGAATGAAGAAAAACAAAAAGCACCATCACGTATTCCGTATATTGTATCAGCATCGAAAGGTATTTGATTTTTGACTTTTGACTTTCGATTTTTGACTTTTGACTTTCGATTTTTGACTTTTAATTTTTGATTTTGAATTTTTTTTTGTTTAAAAATAGAATTTCCCGGAAAATTTTTACTATCATATCAACCAAATCAAAAAGCATTTCATGAATTGATAACAGTTACACCGGATGGATTTAAATATCGTATGAATGTTTTTAAATCAATATTTCAATTATTTAAATGGTTTAAAGATCATTATAAAGATTATTCAACAATAACAACAATGATAACACCTGGACAACAACAAACACCAATTAATGCTAGTCCATATGTAAAACAACATCAACATCAACAACGTACTCCACAATCATCAACAACATCACCTTATGTTAATGTAAGTGATAATCCACTAGCGATACAACTTTCAGCCGCATCATTATCTAATCATTTATTTAATTAATTATCATAGGTAACTGGACATCCAGGTGGTACAACGACAGCAACATTTAATGGAAATTTTGCTACCGCTGCTGCTGCTGCATCGAATACGGCCATTGCTCAATCATTAACGGCGTCGGTAGCCAGTGGTGGATCTACCTTTCAAAGACCTAATTTATATCCAATACCATTATCAGCGACAACAACAGCAGTTGGTGCTGGTGGTATCGGTATGGGTGTTGGTGGTGGTGGTAATATTCCATCATATGCAACAGGACAAACAATGATGCCACCGCCTCCACCACCACCACCTTCGATTCCACAAATACAAAATCAACGTCCTGGTCAACGTGGTGGTAATCAATGGTCAGATTTATTAAAACAACAATCAACAATAACGCAGGATTGGAATTCAAATCGTAATAATAATATTAATCATCATCATAATCGTACAATGACATCAACAACATCATTACAAATACCACCATTATTACAATCATCATTATCATCAATAACAGCACAACATCAACAACAACAACAACAATCATCAATGCCAACGATACAGCCATCGATATCATTAGGATTAATAAACAAACCTCGTACACCTGGATATTCAACACCGGGTGCATCATCACAAATGTCAATTAGTCCAATGCAAGATGATCAACAATCAACACCGAATATAATTAAAGGTGGTGGTGATCAAACACCATTAGTTGATGAATGGAATTGATTGATAATTGATTGATTTTTTTTGTGTGTGACTTATACAACTTTCCATTGATGATGATGATGATGATTGTGACCCAACAACATATACTCTTTTTTTTCGTTCCTTTCTTAACCCTTTTTCTCATTATCATTCTTAAATGTCGATGTTAATCATAATAATAGTTTAGATTCAACAACAGACAAAAAATGCATGAATTTTGAAAAAAATAAAAGTTGAAAAAAATTCTGTACAATTTTTTGTTTGTTTGTTTCCATCATCATCATCATCATCATTACATCACATCATTCAAATTATTTTATGGAGAATTTACTTCTCTGGATTTTTTTCAATTTTTTTTCTTCTTCGATGAATTAATAAAAAAAATCGGTATATTTATCCTTTTCAAAAAAAAAAATATTTATAAAATGTTTTTATCAAAAAAAAATTAGTTAAAGTTAATTAGAAAATGATAAAAAAAAGGGTTAGGAAATTCGTTGATTTGATGAGTGAAAAAAAACCATAATCAGCGCCACGACATGATCAATGTTTGTTCGTTCGATTAGTTTGGTTCAATTTGATCTTAAACGATAATATTCTTGCCGTGCAATACGTAACAATGATAATAATGCTAATGTATCGGATAAGATGACCATAAGGAAAACATAACTCCAACCAATACCACCTAATGGTCCGCTTAATAATGGACCAATAGCTGCACCCAGCGATCCAGTACCATCAATAATAGCCGTAACTGTAGCTAATGCTTGACTTGATTTAACTTTGGTACCCAATTCAGCCGATACGGCCGTCGTTATCAATGCATATGGTCCATTAACAAATGTTCCGGTTATAATTTGTAACAGGATGTTCATCGAATTTGATTGATTACCATAGTTGTAATATAATAATAGCTATTTTGAAGAAAATCTTATTAATAAATTTATTTGATCAGAAATCGAATATTTTTATTTACCGAAGGTATTGCCATACTAAGCATACCAACACAGGTAATAGCACTAGCACCATAACGATCAACAATAAAACCGGCTAATATACCACCAATAATACCACCCAAATCAAAAAATGCGGATAAAAATGCTGAATTTGATGATGAACTATGCACTGGAAAATTTGAAAAAATTGTTTGAATTGAAATGATAAGATGTTGACATACACAAAACATACTTGAAAAATTAATATAAAATGGTAACCAGAATAAAAATGTATAGCTAACTAGTTTTGCAAAAAATAGACAAACAGAAAATTCAATTACACCCTTTGTGTTTGTGTAATTGAAAATTGATTAATTAAGTTTTTTGGGTAAAAAAATTATTACAAACCAAAAAGAAAAACTTACAGGAATTTTTAATGCCTGAAAAAATGAAATGGCATGTTTTTCCGGTATATGTACATTAATGGCACTATCGTCTAATGAACAAAGTAATGGACTATCTTCTTCCATTTGTGACTAGATAATAAGGTGGAAATAGAGAAATTAGAAAGAAGAGATTATTAAAGAGTTGTTTCGAACGTTACCGATTCAATATCATTATCATTACGAATAATAATTCTACGATGATTATCACCACTACGTGCAAATATACCCGAATCTTCAGCTGATTGTATAATCGATTCGGTTGGATCAATTTGATCAGCGATTGTTGATTGTTGCGGTCCATGTATGATTGTTGATGATATTCCAACATCTTCGGGACCTGAAATTGAAATGAAAAATCATTGATCAACCATCGAACAAACATCAAACAAACAGAAAAAAAAACTTACAAGGCACAAGAAATAAAAATATAAAAAATCCAGATAAACCAATAATCAATCCGGGTATTATAAAACTTAAACCCCAATTATAATCGACAAAAGCACCGGCAACTAATGCACCAATAATATTACCAACATTTGTATGTGAATTCCAAATACCAAACAAAACACCACGTGATGATTTATTAAACCAATGACCAATACAGGTAACAACAGCTGGCCAACCAGTTGTTTGTAAAATGCCTTTGATTTAAAATGATAAATTAGTAAATTAACCCGGTAATTTGTTTCAAAAGCAACTTACCGGAAAGAATTTGTAATAAAACAAAATATGATAATGAATGTATATTATAATAATATGCTAAACCAATTGAATAATTTAATAAACCACTAAATAACATTCCAAATGCAAGAAAATATCTTAAATTACAACGTTCAGCTAAAAACCCAGAGAAAAACATTCCAATAGCATATGCAAACAAGAATGCTGAATCCAATAATCCAAGTAATGTTTCTGAATCATTTTGATTATTGAATGGTTTCCAACCACATTCATCACCATCATTATTATGATGATGATCAGTTTGATTATTACAGGTAAGAACACTTTTAACAATACTGAATGGACGACGACTTAAATGATAACTAGCATATGCTAAATATGTAAATATTAATACAAGAGATCTATAAATGTTTAAAGTACGAAAACGTTTTTGTAAAAAACAACGTATTCCAATTGGTAATTGTAACATTTTCGCTAAAAAAACAGAATTCTTTTAATTAAATCGGAGATTCGACAAATTTGAAAACAAAACTTACTGAAAAGGATGATTCGAAAAAAAAACGACTAAAATAATACTCGCGACGAAAGAAGATCAGAGAACAGAAAAGTCAGTGATCGATCAATCAATCAATCAAAACAAAACAAAAAACGTTCGATTTTGTTTGATAATAAAGGTAGATAGTGCGTATGATGACAATTGTAATCAACCAAAGAAAAACAAAGACAAAACAAAAGAAAAAGCTAAGATCACAATGATGGATGATTATTATTGTTTTGGTTGTTTTCAATAATTAAATTAAAAGTTTGTGTAAGGATGATGAGGTTAGATTCCATTTCGTTTGGTGGTTAATCGGTTGAAATCGTTGATTTGTCAAAATAAAAATCATCAAAAGAAGAAAGAAGGAAAAAATAATCAATTTATCGAATGAAATGCGTCATATTTTATTGTTGGCTGTTGATGATTGGAAAAATTGTTGATTTTTTTTTGTTCATTTGAATTTGTTGATGATAATCAACCAATGGTTACCAATGATATCGAATAATGAAATTCATATCACGATATTGATCGATGATCGAATGAATGGAGAGAGAGAGAACGAATGAAAGAAAGTGAAGGGGAGAAAAAACAACAACAACGACGATATTTTGATATGAAAAAAAACGTTGATTATGGATCGGTCCAGAAATAGATTATGGTTATGGTTTTTTGATAAAAGTTTCTCTATGAAAATGAAATAGATCACGTAAAGAAAAGTAACCAAAAAAATAAGATAAATGTTTTGTTTTTTTACCATTTTCTTTATTATTTTCAAATCATTGCCACAAACAGATCATTATCATTATCATCATCGTTGTTCATTCAGTTTATGATATCATTGATGATGTTATCATCAAAAAAATTATCAAATTTTAGCTCAACCAGAAAATGAACCAAAAAACTGTACACTACACACAACACTACGCGTATCAAAAGTACAAACAAAAATGAAGAATCCTTATGAGGATTTTTTTGTTGTTCAATCGAAAAAGATTTCAATGCAACAACATTCTCAATGTCTATCACACACACACACACAGACAACATTATGTTTTGTTTTCACCAAAAAAAAAGAAAAAAGTTCAAAAACTCATTGTGCATAATGAAATGGAATGAATGAAATTTGTTTGTTTTCCATTATCATCATCCAAATCTGTCAATGATAATTTTTGTCAAATTGAGGATAGATTCACCATTGATAACCGAGATTAGAATATTTTTTTTTATTAGGTCAAAGTTTTTTTTCTTTTTAAAAAAATATTTACAAAATAATAATCAAAAAAATTGTGATGCTTTTGATCTTTTACTGTTTGTTTTCAAATGTTGATTATCATTATTCATTATTGAATTTGTTTTAGGCGTCATTGTTGATGATGATTTATTAGATATCGATGGTGATGGTGTTATTAAACGTCTTGGTGTTGGTGTTGGTGTCGATATTGATGTCATCAATGGTGAATAACTAGCCTGTAAACGATTATCAATATTTTGATGAACACCCAATTTTTTTATTGCTAATAATTTTGCAGCTGGTGACATTGAATTTAATCGTTCATGATTTGTTGTACCTTTTATAAATGGACTTTTCATATGATTTTCTGTAGTTGTTTTCTTTTTCATCAATATACGATTAGCTAATTGTTGGCCAATTTGTTCTTTTTCCGATATATCAGGAATTTTAAAATGTGATCCACCACCTGAATGTAATAATGGTGTTTGATCACCTTTTAAATTGATTGGTGTAGCATCAATACTACCCCATGTCATTAATGGTGAACTACCACCAATTAGATTTTCTGGTTTTAAACAAGGTGTACTTGGTACAAATGAAAAACCATTAATATTTGGTGTTTCTTGTCGACCAGCTTCTTTTCCATCGACACCAATTTTTCCACCATTATTTATTACGGCTGCTGCAGCTGCTTGTTGTGAAACAATACCCGTTTGAAATGGATTCATATTAAAACGAGTATTTTCATGTCGAATAATTTGTTTAGATTTTACCAATTCTAATTCATTTTCAGTAAATGGTACACCATCCGGATCAAACATAACAGAATTTTTATTCGAATGTTTCCATGTAATTAATCGACTACCAGCTGATTGTAATTCTTTTGTTGATTGATTTGAATTCATCAATATTTGTTGTTGTTCAATTGTTGGTAATTCTATTGATCGTTCAACCATTTCATTATTCATTCGTGAATCACTATTTAGAAATTCTAATCTTTTTAAATGTTTTTCAATATCTTTATCTTGTAATCGTTCAAATGTATCATTATCTTCGGATGTAAATTTATTTAGAAATTTATTCAGATTTAAATTTTCAATATTAATCGATTGATCGGAGGTTTCATCATCATCATCTTGATCTCTAGGATCAATTCTATTTGGGAAAAAAATCAGAATTATTAAGTTGGTTTTAAGTTTTTTTGACTCTTACTTTTGTAAACGAATTTCATCATCATTTAATGTTGATGCAGGTGTTGAAAAATTTGCTGGCGTATTTGACATATTATTATTATTATTCGTACCTTTATTATTTTGTTCAATTTTTTTCCTAGCCAAACGAGAAATTCGTTCAAAATCATTATTTTTTATAGCATCTTGTAGTTCTAATTCAAGTCGCATTTTAGGTAAATCCGGGAAAAAATCTCGTTCAATAATCGAACCAATTTTTTGACTATATTCATCTTCATCTAAAATTTTACGTTTTTTTCGTTTCAATTGATTATTGTTATCCGAATCGGATGAACTTGATATAATTTGTAGTTTAAATTCATTGATCTGTTCGTTGGATTTATTATCATCTTTATCATCATCACATTCATACGGTACAATTGCTTTGGAATCCATTTTAAACCAAAAATCAAAAAAAACAAAACAAAATTTAAATAAATCACGAAAATGATGATGATGAAATATCTGTTGACAAAATAAATATTCGAGAAAAAAATATACTATTTCAACAACAATTGTTCGATTGTGTGGAATTAGTCAGCGAAAAATCGAATGTTTGATGATGTCATCCAATTTTTTTGTTTTGTTTTCATTCATTAAAACCAAGAATATTTACCTTTTTTTCAAACAAAAATCAATTTCATTTTTTTGTAATATAATCTCATCAGAACGATGGCTTGATAAAATTATGATTATAAAAGTTAAAAGAAAAAAAACCAACAACGACAACGAAAATTACGATGAAATTAGTTTCCTGTCGTTTTATATTCGGTTCCTTGATACTACTTTTAGTCGATTTATTATGGGTAGCAAGCTCGGAATTAACTGAATATTTATATCATGAAAAAAATTTTCATAAACCATTTTTTACAGCCTATATAAAAAGTGTTATGTTTTCATTATATTTATTTGGTTTTATTTTTTTCGATTCATGGTGGTCACAAAAATCACATCTAAATCCTGGTGATTATTATTCAATTGTTTCTGATTCTGATCAACAAAATTTAACACTTGAAGATGATGATGAAGATGATGATGACGATGAAGAGGACGATGAAGAAGATGTTGATCATTTGAATTTGAATAATATTGATAAAACTGGTGATACAATTACCGAAGAAAATATTCCGAATGATAATGATGAAAATAAAGATTTACAACCGATTAAATCATCGTCGTTATCGAATAATTCGCATTTTATAAGCGATTCTGTTTGGATTCCAATCAAACGATGTAGTGATACTAGTTCTTTGAGGTAAATTTTTGTTTTTGGTTTGTTTTTTTGAATTAAAATTTTTTCTTTTTTTTTAAAACAGTGGGAAAAGTAGCGAAACTGAAGATGATGAAATTGTATCGAATGATGGTCATGTATTTATTGAAAATATTAATCCAGAATCGGATAAAATTGATAATTCAAATATTATCAATAAGAATAAAAACATATCATCATCATTATCGAATGTTAGTTTTATTCGAAAAACATCATCATCGAAACGTTCGAAAAGAAAAAATCAAAATCTTATAAAAGGAAAATTAAAAAAACCAAAAAGATTGGTAAGATTTTCAAATCTAATTGAAGTACGACAATTATCGGATAAACATGCTGATGATGCATTTTTATCACGTCTTTCATATTCATCATTTATGCGTATACTTTATCAACGTAATCGTCAACGACAATATTCATCAAATTCTATTGATAATCGATTATTATCATCATCATCATCGGAACAATCAATGAATTATGATGATCATCATCGAAATTCTGGAAATAAATTAACAATACGTGAAACATCAGTATTGGCATTCTATTTTACATGGATTTGGTTTGCAGCACATCTTAGTTTTCATATGGGTTTACAATATAGTGAAGCTGGTTTAGTTAATGTTTTATCAAGTACAACACCATTATTTACATTATTATTGGGTATATTATTTCCATCTGGTTCAATAACTGATTCATTATCATTAACAAAATTATTATGTGTTCTATTATCGATATCAAGTGTTGCAATGATCTCTAATATTGAACCAATTAATCCAAATTCACAATCATCATCATTATTAATTCATAATCAAATTGATAATTTTCAATCTACATCCAATAATAATAATAATGGTAATGGTGTTGGTGGTATGAAATTGAACAATGAAACAATATTACCATTAGGTAGTATTTGGTCATTATGTGGTGCATTTTTTTATTCAGTTTATATTGTTTTGATGCGTTATAATCTAATCAATGATTCAATGTTAAATTTTCCAATGTTTTTTGGTAAGTTATTTTTGATATTTGATGATTAACAATGTTGATAATTTTAATAATTTTTTTCGCAAAGGTTTTATCGGATTTTTTAGCATGATATTTATGTTTCCATTTTTAATGTTATTAAATTTTACACAAATTGAAACATTTCAATGGCCTTCACAAGATCAATGGATTGTATTACTAGTCAATGGTTTTTGTGGTACAGTTATATCTGAAATATTATGGCTTATGTAAGTTTTTTTTGTGGAATTTTATAAGTTTTTCGAATCATTTTTATTTTCGTTTCTTCCATAAAAATTTCAGTGGTTGTTTTATGACATCATCATTAATTGGAACAATATCGGTATCATTTACCATTCCAATGGCCGTATTTTTTGATATATTTTATAAAAATATTGAATATCCAAGGATATTTTTTCTGGGAACAATACCAATGTTTTTTAGTTTTATTTGGATAATAATTATATCACAATATGAACGTTGGGATCCAATATTGGATCTATTAGAACAATGTCTTTATTCAATTGGTTCATCACCAAGAAAATGTTCCGGTACAATACGTTTAAATGAATCAAATGTAATAATGAATAATTTGATTGAAAAAACAATTGATAATGATAATCATCATCATTATTCGGATAAAAATAATCATTCAACTAATGAAATAATGGACCAAAATATTATTACCAATAATAATGATGATGATGATGAAACCGGTGATTCAAATAAATCAATCAAAATGTCGATAAATAATCGAAGATTTTTAAATGGAAAAAAAGATTCTTCTGATCATCATTCCGTATCCTTATCATCATCATCATCATCATCATCATCAACAACATTATCATCATCACCACCATCATCGCCTTCATCCTCCACTACATTAAGACATTTACAATTTAATAAACAAAGAATGGCCGATCAAAATGATCATCATCATCAGAATTCGGATGATGATGATGAACATAATGAACAGACAAAATCATTGATTGATGCTGCAGCTGCTGAATTAGCTTGCTGATTTTTTTTCCAATAGGAATTATAGAAAAATTTATTATTTATTTCAAAAAAATTTTTCATTTCATTTTTTCTTTCGTTCAATGTTTTTGTGTTTTGTTGGTTATTGTGATATTTAATCATTATTATTATTTTTAAAAAAAATTTTGAATGCTATTTTTTTGAGAGGGGGTATGAAAAAATTCTTAAAAAATTTGTAATATGATTTAAGAGAATAACCGAAGAATAAATTTGATTGATTGATTCATTTTAAAGATGAATTTACTTTTTATCATTAGCCACTGTTGTTGGAACCATTGGTGATTCACTAACATCATTCGATTTATCATCATCACCATCATCATCATCATCATCGTCGTCGTCATCATCTTCATCGGTTTCAAATGTTTCCGGTGGTATTGAATAAATAATCAAATTTGGTTTGTTTGGATCTTTTAGTATAAGATATTTTCCTTCATCCAATTTTAAACATTGATCAATAATACAACGTAAAATACCCCATGCATTATCCAGATTCAGATTAATTTGATCGGCAAATTCACGTGGTCGAAATTGTTGTGTACCAAGAATCGAATGTTTTGTTGAATCACGAAAATTCACACGTGAAACATAACCAAATTTTATCTGATGTGAACCGGCCAACAATGATTGTACAGTCCATTTAGCCAATTTACAGGCATTATTTTTCAATTCATTTGCCAATACAGCACCACGTTGTACATCAAGTTTCCGTCGCCAATCAATAGCTCCGGGAATCTGATTTTTGACAAACACAACAAAAAAAATTCAAAATTCAAAATAGATTCAACAAACAAATCACACTTACTCTTGAATCCCATTCATTCAATGCTTTAATATTCATTAATTGTTGTTCATCATTCGAACCATATGTAACGGCATCATGTTCACAACGTACAACCAGATTAACACCATCACCAAGATTCCATTTACGATAACGATAACCAACCGATGCAACTTCAACATTTTCATCATCACCAACAAATGGATTTGGATTTTCAAAATTATATTTTTCACCATTTTTTTTCAAAACTTGTTGTGAAAAATTATGATTAATAAATGTTGCTTCCAATGCTAAATTTCTTGGATTATTAATGCTATTTGGATCATCATTATATGGTGGTTCGGCTGCACTTTCATTCACTGATAATAGATCAAAATCAGAATCATCACGTTTATCGAAAAATAATTTATCTTTAAAACGTTGTACAATAATATCCCATGAATTTACTGATCTTGTTGCACACATTAATGTTGCAATAATTGCATCTGTAGCATAAACATTTCCTTCAATTTTTGATAATTTCCGAATGATTGGATCATCAGTTGTTGTTACTTTATGAAATATACGATTAATACGTTGTAATGGTTTTTCCATTTTTGAATTTATACGATCATATGTTTTATCATAATATTCCATTGAACCGGCTGTATAAATATCATGTCCATCGCCAATATTCGGCAACGATAATTTGGATAAACGTGGAAAATCCATTTCTTCCAAAATTTTCCATTCCGGTCGTACATTAACAGATGATTCACGTTTTTTTGAATTCTGTCCTTTATTATCATATTTTTTATTCGATTTATTACCATATTTGCCACGTGTATTTTGACGATTATTACGACGAAATGCATTATGATTGTTTCGTTGATTACGACCACGTAGATTCTATAATTTTTTTTAAAAAAATAAACATTTCCCAATTAGTTAATCAAAAACAACAACAAAATGAACAAAAAATTTACCTGTCCCATACGAATTTTACTACGTTGTGTACGTTGATTTTTAGTCTGATCAACAACCTGAAATGAATCTTCATCTTCAATCATATTACGATATTGATTGGCACCATATTGAACTTGATATTTCACTGAAAAAAAAAAGAAAACAAAAATAAAATTGCTGTTTCCAAAATCAGAAAGAAACTTACTCAACAAACGATTATCCGAATAAGTATCACCAGTCCAATCGGCAACCATACCAAGACGATCATTTTTATTAAATGATTGATAGGACATTCCATTGAATAATTTTAGATTATCAACTGGTCCCCAACCATGTTCATTAACAGGTAATTCCGGTAGAATTAATTGCTTTTTCGGTGCTTCCATTATTATTCCAGCTTTTTAAAAAAAAATTTAACCCGGATTTATCAATGAAATTAAAAAATGTGAGCGATGAAAAAAATAACACGCGTACAAGCCGGTAGAGGCGTCTTTCTTCTTCTCGTTCTTCTTTGCTTCATTGCTTTCTGCTGTCACGCTTGCAAGCAGCTCATCAAATATCAATCAATTGCTGCCATCTATGATTAGCGCTCGGTAAATTCGAACAGAGAATTTTTTTCAAGAATTTCGAAAATTTTTCAAAAATTCTTTTGATTCTTTTTCGATATGAATTCGCCAAAAGATTGTAATGATGATGGTGAAAAATTTCAATGGCATCGATCTTGTATCGATGATTATAACCTATTGGATTTAATCGGACAAGGATCATTTGGTCGTGTTTTTCGTTCATATTGTACAGTGAATGGTCAAGAATGTGCTGTAAAATGTATATCGAAACAAAATCCACAAACAAATTTACAAAAAATTCGTACCGAAGTTTATATTCATATTCGTTTAAATCATCCAAATATTTTACAATTATTTACCGTATTAGAAGATTCAAAAGCTGTTTATCTTATAATGGAAATATGTAATGGTGGTTCATTAGCACAATTAATCGCCAAACAAAAATCTCATAGTTCTATCCGTCCAATTCTACCATATAAATTAATCGGGTCATTATTGTTACAAATCTGTGATGCACTCGATTATTTACATCGTAATTCAATTGTACATCGTGATTTAAATCTAAATAATATTCTTCTTCAACGACCTTATTGTTCGAAATCGGCGACAACAACAAAAATTAAATTAGCCGATTTTGGTCTGGCAATTGATCAACGATTAATGTCCAAACATCGTTCGCCATCGACAACGACGATCAACCATCAGCCAAATGATGATAATGATGATTTATTTGGTTCAACAATCTGTGGTACACCAGGTTTCATTTCGCCTGAAATATGGAATCAAATACCAAGATCTGTTTCATCAAAAAGTGATATTTTTAGTTTAGGTTCAATTGTTTATGCTTGTATTACCGGTCAAACACCTAAAAATGATATTGTAAGTTTGTTTTTTTTTTAATTTCGTTATTTACCTGTTGATCATTTATTATCTTAACAAAAAAAAAGATTCTTGATAATTCATTTCCACCAATGGCAGCGGATCTAATTACCAAACTATTGAATCATAATCCAGAAAAACGATTAGAAATTAATCAAATAAAACAACATATTTTTGTTATTGGTCATATCGATACTCGACGTTTGAATCCGATTGAAAAAACAACCAATACATTACGAATGTCAATCGATTCGAAACAAAATGTTCGAATGTATTTCCGTAATGATAATCTTACCATTGATGTTTATCAAAATGGTTCATTGATTAATATTCATCATAATCATGAAGAAAAATATAATTTCTATGATTTACCGGAAAAATATTGGAAACATTATCAATTAATAATCAAATTTATCAATCTGGTACGTTCAAAAACACGTAAAATAATTATTTATTGTGGTGATTGGTTCAAACAACAGCCAAATAATGGAAAACCTACGAAAAAATTCATCAACAAATGTACATTAATGAATGATGGTCATTTTGAAATAAATGTTTATGATCGAATTTTGGATGAAAATCAATGTTATCGATTGGATGAAATCACTGCCAACAACAACAACAACAACAACGACAACGATCAATTTGATTTTAAACCACATTTAGATAAATTATTTAAATTATATTCAATAATTTATCAATTGGAACAAACATTAGAAATTCAAAGTGAAACGATTGGTATCGATTTGTTTCCAATTACAATCGGTTGTGATTCAATGAAATCAATGAATGAATCGAATACAAATACCACCGCAAATAACGGCACAAGATTAACAGAAAATAATTCATTTTTAACAAGTAAAATTTTACGTTCCATTCCGATCAATGGAATTGGTCATGCAATTCAGGTAAATTTTGTAAAAAAAATGATAATTTTACTTTCAAATGAATAATTTCTTTATTTTTTATCAAAAAATTCAAGTTTACAAACGGTTCGATTAAAGTAAATTTTGATGATGGTTCCGATCTTTGTATGGATCGTGATAATCGTATCTATTATCTACATGATGGTATTCTTGATCGGTAAGTTTTTTTTGAAAATCCAAAACCCCTTTTCAATTCCGATATTCTTGTTTTTAGATTTCATAAAAATGATAAATTACCCGATTTTATTGTGGATAAATTGGCACAAATTCCACAGGTTATTGAACGTTTAAAAATTTCTTAAAAATCAATCAAATCAATAATGAATTGTACATTTCGTTTTATTTATTCAAAATAACATGACATTTTTGTGTCAAAAAAAAACTTTTCAAAAGAAAAATAAAATTTAAAAAAAAATATTCACATGAACAACACTCAATAACAAAAATTTCTTCTTTTTTTAAAAAAATTTGAATTCGATGATAATCACGAATTTACCAATCATTAGCATTTTTCCATTTTTCTTGATCATCTTTCCTGGCTTCAGGTGTTAATTGATTACGAAAACCAACTAAAACACTTGATGTTGCTTGTGATAAATGAATAATTGGTCGAACAACAGTAGATGGAATTTGTCGTACAACTTCACCAATAACCGTAACAGTATCATCAGCAACTAAATTTGTATTTGTCATTCCTCTGAATGTATCATGAAAACCTTCACGTATAACTGTATAGGCAACAGTAAAACCTTCACGTAAATCTCTTGGTTGTGATGATGCTGGTATTAATTGATGACGATTATAATGACCATTACCAGGTGTTGGTGGTGTAACAACATTATGTGCAAATTGTGCTGTATTCTGTATCAAAACAACCAGACGATTTGCTAATTCTAATGTTGCCATTGCAGTTGATACTGAAAATGCATATGCACCACGTTGTATACCACGAACAATACGTTGATCACGACGATATTGATCGATTGGTATCCAGAATAGATCACGAATACCTTGAACTAAACAAAACCAAAATCCTTAAAAATTGTTACAAAATGTTTTTGTCTATTACTTACATAGTTGAATAAATGAATGCATTGGACCAACACCACCTAAAATTGATGGTAATTGATTACGTTTTATATCACGTCCCCATTCTTCAATAGCATATTGTATAACTTTATCTAAACCTAATAGACCATGTTTATTTGATAATTTTTTCAAATATAATTCACTTTGATTAAGTTGTGCTAGACCTAATGCAATGCCAGGTAATGCTCCCTATAGGAATTCAAATAACAAAAAACAAAACCATAAACATCAAATAAAAATCAACAAATCAAAAATCAAATTTACTTGTTTCAAATCGATATGTTTACCATGATAATCTAAACGTATTGGTACATCGGGTAAAAATGTAAATGATTTTATGAATAATGATGAATTTGTACGATCATTCATCGAATCTTGATGTTGTGTAATTTGAATCGTTCGATTTGAATTCAATGATGGTGATTGATCGATTGTAAATAATGTCGGTGGATTTTTAATTGAATTATCATCATCATCATCATCAGCATCGTTATCATCATTATCATCATCATTATCGTCATCAATATTGATGGTTAATTTATTTTCAAATTTTTTTATTGTTGTTGCCGATGCATTACTGTTGTTGTCATCATCCAAATCATTATTATCATCGGATAATTGTTTACTACCACCAACATCACCAGTATTTGTTAATTTTGCCATTAAAATATCATTAAATTTTGTAAAAAAATCCATTAAAAATAATAATGTATCTTGATCAACATTAATACGTAATGGTTTTAATGAAATTGTTAGGTCAGCTTCTTCAAATTTATCTTGAAAATTTCTAAAACAAGTCATACGTATTGAAAACATATTTGAATATTGACGACGAGGCATTGATTCCGAATAATATTCATAAAGCATTTTATTTATTTTCGATACACTAACTTTATCAATAATTTCTAATTCTTGTACCATAAATCGAAATAACCATGATATTAGTTCATTTTTATCATATTGATCAAATAATATTCGTATTCGTTTCAATACCAGAACAACATATGTATCAGTTTTACGTTTAAAACCACCAGTTGATTTGAATGAAAAATGTGTATCCACCGGATTTGTTATTCTTGATGATTTTGATCCAGATTTTATGGATCCAGATGTTGTTGATATTAGATCAATATTTTCCCATAAAATTGAATTATTTTGTTGTTTAAAACGTACACGTTGTTGTTGTGTTGATTTATTCATTAGATTTTCATTTTTTAATGAATAATTCACTTGACTTATAATATCCGATGATAATGAACTATTCGAACGTTTATTATTACCGGTGGTGGTGGTGGTAGAATCATCATCATTATTATCGTTTGATTGATCATCATCAAAATCTTTTCCCGCATAAAGATAAACATTTAATGACATACGATCTAATAAATATCTTGCAATAGTTGTTGCTGTCATATCTGGTATACCACTTATTTGTGTTATTTTAAAATGATTTTCAATAATTTTTATCGGTTCATCAATTAACATACGTATACGTGGTTCTTTACTTGTATGTATACCCGAACCAAGATCATTTTCACCCAATATTAAAAAATTTGATTCATCCATTTTGTTGTTGTTGTTGCTGCTTAAATTATCCGAACAAAAACAATTTTTCTCTTTACGTAATGATGATCGTATCGTAAATTCATCATTATCATCACCATCACCATCATCACCGCCATTATTATCATTAACTGATAATTCGGATAATGCATCAGCTAATAATTCATTACTATTTAATGGATTTTTTGATTCTTTTTGATTAATCGTCGTCGATGGTGGTGGTTGTGTTTTATCATTTTGTTTATCTTGTTTCGAATCTTTTACAATCGTACTATTTTGACTTAAATGACCATCATTTTGACTATTTTGACCCGAAAATGATTGAGCGGAAAATGTTTGTAAAAATTGACATAATGCTGCTAATGAATCATAACAAACTTTTAAATTAATTTCATTATTCGATCCTTTCCATTCGATTTGTCCATCTTTCGATATTTTTAGATTAATATCAATAATACCTGAATCAATAATTGGTATAAAATTTTTTAAATAATCCATCGAATGTTGTTGTCTTTTAAAACATAATAATGCTTCTTCAATAAAAAATCTTAATATTGTTTGTTCAGTATTTTCAATAACCATTGATGTTAGATAAATATCTTCAAAATGTATTAATGTTTGTCGATCTTTTAAACAATCAAATACAATACCCGATTTCATTAAATCCAAATGTAATTCAATAATAACCCTTGGACAAACATAACCAATTATATCATCATCATGTACGTTAATAAATTCCCAAAGATTTTCAAATACAGGTAAATCCAAACCTAAAAGTATTGCATTTTTTAGCTGTACAGTTAATTTGATTTTTTTCAACAGTTCATTTTCACGACGAATTTCAACAGCTAAATTCAATTCAGAATTTAAATCCAAATATGAATTATTAATCAATATTGATCGATCATTTGAATTTAAACGAAGATTTTCACTACATAATGTAATCACAGTTTTTGATAAATCACTTGCTGGTCCACCAACAATACCAAGTAAAAAATTTTGCATAAAAATTTCATTTTTTACCATCAATGTCGATATAGGTGATGATGATTTTGTTTGAAATTTTATCATTAAATTATCCAATTCCAATTCAATAACAAATTCATTCATCAATGATTTTTTCTTAATCTGATCATCATCATCATCGTCATCCATTATTTTATCCATCATTATTGAATGATATGAATTATTACTTAATGTTGAATCAAATATTGATGATGATGATGTTGATGATGAATCCATATTATGAACATTTTTACAGCTATAAAATATTGATGAATTTTGCGGCGGTGGTGGTTGCGATTTCGGTTGCGGCTTCCAATCATTATCATCATCATCATCATCGTCGTCGGTTAATGTTTCATTCAACATTGGTAATAATAATTTTGGTGGATTATTGGTTTTCGATTTCACCATTGATGAAGATGATAATTTTCTTCGACGAAAAAATGGTCTCCACATTATTAGATCATTAACAAAACGATTATAAATCAATTCAAATAATCGTTTATTATCCAAATAAATTTCACCATAAGGTAAATGAATATAGATATAGAATCTAGTTAATTCACGATTATATGCTAAATAATGACGACAATGATCACGATCACCCGGTGTTATAATACGTTCATGGCCACCATTATTATTATTTGTACCATTTGGATTATCACCAAACATATTACGTTTCACTTGAAATGGTTCATTTGATTGATTATTATGATTAATAGCTGATGATTGTAAAAAATTTATCGATTCATTCATTGAATTTAATTGATTTATTAATGAATTACCACCGACAACATTATTACCATTATCATCATTATTTTCGAATGTTTGATTAATATCGATTGTTTGTTCGATTGGTATCGATGTTGAATAATGTAATTTTATATTACGTTCATCACATTTCGAATGAAATAATTTATATTGTCCATCATTATCATTATCATCATCATCATTATCATTATCAATTCTTAAATCCATCGATATTTCATTACATAATAATTCACCAAAATCATTTTCAATTCTTGTTGATAATTGTTTGATTACGATTAATAAAATTTCATTATGTAAACATGAATAATCATTACGTTCTGGTCGTAAATCTGGTATAGGGAAAAATAATTCCATTTCCAAATTTTCACATTCAATATTTATTATTATTGAATCTTCATCATCAAGATTATCATGGTTAATATTGGTCAATTTGGTTGGACATTGCACTGGTGGTGGTGCTGGATTTACATCCGTTAATGATGGTAAAAATAATTCAAATAATTTTTGATGCCGTTCAATAATTGTTGGATCTAAACGTATGAATGTTGGCGCCAACATTATCGTTATTAAATTTTTATTCTTTTTTAATCTTATTGATGGTATTATTGTTGAATCGGAATTTTGACCATCACCACCATTACCACCACCACCAACAACATTATTATCATTAATCCAGAATAAATTATTCAATATTCCATCACCATCGCCATCGTTGTCAACATTATGATGATATTCATATGAACTAATATTTATACAACTAAATTGTAAGTAATCTTGATTACGTAATTCTAAACAAATATTTGATGCTAATAATCTTATATGATTATATTCATGTAGTATATCATTTAAAAATGAATTTATACCAATAAATGTTTGTAAATTATCAATTATTGGTATTTCATTAAATTCTGGCATATTATCATCATTATCGTCGTTACTGATCAGACATAACATTATACCGGGAATTTTTATATTACATGTAACTAATGTATTTTGATTTGGATCACTGCTACAACTGGCGTCATTCGCCGATTTGGAACCACCATCTTTTTTCGTTCCATCATTATCTTTAGAATGATGGTGGTGATGGTCGAATGATTTAAATTGATCATCATTACTATCGATTGTTGTCCATGTACGACCACCACCATTAATCGATTGTTGTTTCATTGATGGTAAATGATGATGATGATGTGGATGATTTTCTTTATGCATCAATTCCTGTATCCGACGATAATCCTGTGCTGTCATTAAACGTTCTTGTGGTTTTTTATTTGTCGATGATTCTTCTTCAGTTTGCTGCTGTTGTTGTTGTTGACCATCATCATTCATCATTTGAAAAAATAATTTCAAAATACGAATATGATTTGAATTTAAAATGGCAAATAGATATGAACCAAGATAAACATCCATATCGATACGATTTTGATTGAAACGAAGTTTTAATGAATGTTTTCCAAATAATTTTGTTATTAAATTATCATTAATATAGATTTCAATTCCTTCTAATGTTAAACGTTTGGTAACGATATCCGAAAGTAAAAGATTCGATGATGTTTTATCACTTGACGATTCTTTATCCTTTGCCGCTGAAGATTGTTGGCCATCTTTACCACTATCCAATGATATTTCTTCTTCTTCACATCGTAGATGACCAATACGAAATTCAATTTCATCACCATCACCATCACCGTTACCTGATGGAAATTGAAATTTTATCCGAGTATTTTTGGCTGATAATTTTACTCGTCGTATTATTGAACTAATAAGTTGAGCAAATTTTTCTAAACCTTCATATTTTTCGGATTCTTGTTTTTCCAAAATTTCTTCAGCCATTTCCATACTTGATACCATCATTGAACGAGATAATATCGATGTTGTTGTTGTTGTTTGATTCGTTGATGATTGCTGCGGTTGTTGTTGTTTTAATTTACAAAAATTTAAACGTATACCATCTAAACGTATTGTACATGAATCAATCCATAATGAACTCCATGGTACCATAAATTCAATTTTTTCAACAAAACCTTCTAAAAATTTTAATGATAATAATGTTGATAATTCTTGATTAATTGTTTGTACATTTAATGGTATTGATTCTATCGAAGCAGTACCATTAAATAATTCAATATCTAATTGTGATAAATCTAATTCTTCGGAAAGAAAATGACCCAAATAACGTTCGATCAGATATTTTATTGTACATTTTTTTAATGATTCAGTTAACCATGGTATATTGAATAGGGCCATTTTTTCTTTAGTTTTTTTTGTTTTCTTCGAAAAAAAATCAGAAATGATGATGATAATGAAAAACTTCGATTGATTTGATTCGATTTTAGCTTTTCATTTTGTTGTTGCTGCGATTATCGTTGTTGCAATGATGATGAAATTTTTCTTTAAAACAAAACAAGAAAAAAGCTGAATAAGGATGATGATTATAATGAAAAATTAATCAATTTGGAAAAAAAACAAACTAAGAAAACAACAGAATTAAAGATTAGAAACAAAAATCACAGTTTGTTGGAAAATAGAAAGAAAAATATGTTGAAAGAATATAATCGAAGACGAAGAAAGAAGAAGAAGGAAAAACCTAATGTCGTTTGGGTTTGTTTTGTTTTGGTTGGCGAAGGAGAAAAAACAAGAAAAAAAATTAGAATATTCTTCATTCACCCACCAGAAAAAAATCTTTTACCTTTTTTTTCAAATTATTTAATTTCGTTATTGTCGTTTTCAGTTGTCGTTCAAGTTTTTTTTTAGTTGCGATTCTTCCAGTTATAATATAAGGCGCAGTATTTTTTTTTCACTTTTGTTGTTGTTGTTTTTTGTTTTTTTTTTGTTGATAAAAATCATCAACAACAACAACAAACATCGATCCAGATGAATATTGCGTATTTTTTTTTCTGTGTTTATCAATCGAATCTATGCTGTATGCCACTACCTGCTTTCATTATCCCATGCTACTACCACCACAATGGAAATATCACTTATTGGCAATGGCAATGGCAATGATGATCATAAGACATTGGTATCCAGTATATCTAGTGGTAGTATCCGTAAAAGTAGTAGTGGTATTGTGATTAGTAAGGTTTTTTTTTTTTGATGGATTCAGATTCGGATTCGAATTCTGTTCATTTGGTTTTGGTCTGTTTGTTTATTTTGGCGCCGAAGTTTTCATTCATTCATTCATTGATGAAATGTTCAACCGGACGGATGTTCTATGCAAGAAAAAAACGACAGACGAAAGAATTTCTTGTGAATTTGTTCGTCTTGGTTATTTTTTGTGAGATAAATGTGATAATTTTGTGTTTGTCGCAAATTAAATGATGATGACAAATGATTAATGAAATTATAAATTGTTTTCACTAATTCTGTGTGTGTGTTTTCAAATGAAATGAAACAAATCGGATTAATATTATCTATTAGTTTTGATCAATTTCGATCAGTAATAATAACAAAGTTCATTGATAATTTGTAATCAATTTTGTTTTTTTTTCTCACTCGTTTTGTTAATTTCTTGCTTATTGATCCACATCAGCGAAAAATATTCGCGTGATTAGTCAATTAAATTGATCGATTTAAAAAAATTGAATTTTATTTCCTGGTAAGTTTATCTTTCAAAATTCTTTCCGAAAAAAAACAACAAAAATTCTTTGAAAAATCCAAAAAAACTTTCGATTCGAACACCCAATAGCATCGTTCGAATTCCGAAACGTTCGAATTACGAAAACATTCGAATTCGAACGTTTTGCTTTTTTTTTTTTTTTTTTTTTTTTTTTTTTTTTTTTTTTTTTTTTTT